CCACAAACAACAAACAGCGTAGCAACATGTACTGTATGTCAATTCAGTAAGATGAACCATGTTTGAAACACCGCAGAGGACCTGGTCCGACATCTCTATGTCACAAGAACAGCATGAAACGCATCTTCATCTTACACAACATTAATGTAGTAGATTCATGCTCTAAATTTCAAAAAATGCAAATTATCAGGGGCCCCGAGTCCCTGTGTAACCAAAAAGATAATACAGGTTTGATTGACAATGGCTTTAGTAGGACTATACAATTCTCTATTTCCTTGGGGGTTGCGAAATTGTTTACATTTGGAGGATCAGGGGATGTTTCCGGAGAACCATCAGGTCGCAACCAGCGATGATCAGTCCTCAGACTTCGCAGCGAAGATGCCACATGAGCAGTGGCTGTGTTCGACACCACTGTTGGTTCATTATTGCTGATTATTGTAGGAGGTTTTACCGTACAATAGATTGGGGATTGTCATCATCAATTCTGGGAATCCCTGTCAACCAACCTCGATAATGGAGACTGCTCACATTCATTTGAGCAGATTCCAGAATCATGATCAGCCATATTTTCACAAATAGTACATGCCCCTCTAAAACCTATGATGTAGCACAGCATTGGGTTTCGTCTATTTGGGAACCGTATACTGGAAAATCCTCTGATATTGGAGGATGGGATTGATCATGCTGATTGATGTTCATAGGGGTTCTAGTGCAGTGTCACGGTGAAGTTTCCTATGATTTGGGAAACTAGTTGGTCTGGTACCAACTGTGAGATTAAGAAGGGGCACATTTTTGGGGGCGCATTCGTGCCCCAACTTTGGCAATTTTTCACACATAATAATTCCACAACCGTAAAATTTCCCTTTAATTGATCCCAGAGTGACAAAAAGGCCATGGCCAAAAGTTAGATTGTATACCCAGATTGGGGAATGGTCAGGGTGGTCATCAATCCATTATTGGCATTATTGGGGATTCAAATGTTCATCACAGGAATCCCATTATTGGATCCATGACCATAATCCATATACCATGTTTTGGCCCTAGCGCATATAAGGTTTTGACTGATGAGATAAAGGCAACTAGTAGTCTTTGCTGCGGACGTCCCTTTTTGCAATGGAGTTTCGCTCCGAAAAGCGGTGCGGTTCAAGCCCCGTGCTTGGGAGGCAATTGTAGTAGAACGCGGTATGAATAACCATGTGAAGATAGTAACATGTGGGAAATGGGGATATCAGGTTATATCTTATCCAGACAACAGGTTGATGTAACACCGAATCATGTTAATGTAATTCGCAAACGCAGTATATTCCTAATAAATTGAAACAAGCATGCAAACCAGCAATGAAGGTATATTTAGTACAGTTTTGTTTTTATTGCTAGGTGTACAAAATGAAACTTGATAATTTTACCATATTAGCAGTGTTGACTTTGGATGATGAAAAAACAACTCTTTTGGCAAAAGAACAGCAAGCAGGGTTTCACCCATATATTGGACGTCAGCTCCAAATATTTGATCCTCTCAACTCACAACTACCACTTCCGGCCACCCAGCGCACGAAGCGATGCTGAGCGGTGAAAGCTGGCAGTGAAAGATGTCGCTGAGTGTCAGATGAGTAGTATGTAGGTGGTAAAGATGTAGTTTTTTTTTGTTTTTTTTTCCCAGTAGGGCAATATAATCCAAAATGCAGGTAATATATAGGTCATATATATGTAGTGCTGTGTATATATTTATATATATATACGCACATACGGGTTTGAGGGATCTGGTACTGTGTGTGGTTGCGGCCTGGTTGCGGCCTTACCCCCTGTGGTGTGGGGGTGGGAGTTTGGGGGGCTGATGCAGCAGCATACGATCAAATGACTAGTAGGCGAGTAGTAGATAGGGTAGTAAAGTATAGATGTACTGTGAGTAGTATATACATTGTATAGGCAATGTGTATTGTAATGCCTGAATTGTAAAAGAAAGATGGGTATGTAGAGGTTTGGGTCAGAACTTCATACCCTGTGGACCCACATGTTTTCCATCATTGGCAGTATCAACTAATCACATCAACCATCAACATCCATGTGTTGCATCCAAATTGTTGTGAGTTGTACTTGGATGTGCATTCCAGTTTGTAATTGGGTAACAACCATAATATTAAAACCCAACTACGGTACATCATATGCATGGAATATGAGCATTTAAATATCTGGCCATGTATATACACACATTTATTTATATATATATATGTATGTAAATATATATATATATATATAATTTTATGCAAAATGTGCATGTCTACATGTATGTATATACATATATAGTCATATGTACCTATATACGTATAGATATTTTGTGTAGCTCAGAACCTCGAAGCTTGCTGAGGAGTGACCTTCAAAGACTTGCTGGGAACTGAACACACCATCGCATTGCCAGAGCGGTGTCCCAGTGTCGGAAGTGTCGGAAGTGGCCTTTTTTTTGGTAACCGAAGTCAGCGTTGGATTTTACCACCAATGTTAAACAATGGATTCAACTGGATTTAATGAGGTAGTTGGCTATGTTGGTTGAATCATAGCTCCAATAATTGTTGGATTGATGGTAGATATAACTATTTTGAATTAGATGGTTTTATTTAGCTGGTGCCATTTTGAATCGGTTTCATCCCCCTGAGATTCAATTGTGTCCACTGATTGACCTGCAGACAGAAAGAAAATAGTGGTAATATAAGCTGTGGAAAATCGTCCATTTAGTTGGATGATAAATCCCCATTAAAAAATGTGATTTTCCTTAGCACACTGTTAAAGCATCAGAGGGTAGAATCATGTAAGATTCATCCATGGAAAATGGCGGACAAGATTAGATTTCACCTAGGGGTTCAGCCATGAAGGACAATTGATAAGTATTCCCATAGTAAGGTTATGTAAGGCTTACGAATCAAACCAAATCGTGTCTAAACCATCTTGAAATAGGGTTAGCCAATATATGCCAGTCAATGCCAGTATAGTAACTGGTTGGTGGTTTGGAACATTCTGTATTTTTCCATTTCATATATGGGATGTCATCCGAAACCCATTGACGAACTCCATCATGTTTCAAGATGGGGACATTGCACCACCAACCAGAGTAATATTCAATACCACCAATAAGGGACCCGAAAATGAAAGGGTCCAACACATGTCACCAGGGGACAGGATTTTTTGGAGCCATGTGGAGCTACTGAATCAATGTGGATTTACCATGATTTACGAGCCTAGTGCATGGGAAGTACTGGGGAATTCATGTGAATGTAGAACGAGATGCTGCCAACAATTTGGTGATATCAACAGAAATAGTGGCTATATTTCACTAATCTTGACTGGGAATAGAACGAACAGAACAAACAGAGGCCGACCTCAAAACGATGCTGATGGGGGGGAAGCCTCCCTTTCCCATTTTTTTCCCGCTTTTTGTAAAAAAATGAGGAGAAAAAGATAGGGAGATAGACAGAAATAGACAGAAGCAGACTTTGGATTTCACCTCCAAAACTGGATGGTCCAGAGATGATGGTTGAACATAGTTGTTTACCCATTGTTGCTTTCTACCAGGCTCAACAATTCGACCAGATTTTTTCGCGGAAAAAACACATATTTTTTTTTTTGGTTGGGATAAATATCCTCAACTTAGCCATGCATTTGGTTGCTATGGAAGATTTCATGACACTCGATCCATTTATACCGGTGTTCCCAGGATGGCTCCATCGATCGCTTTGAACGCCTCTTTTCCCGCGAGGAGCGACATTCGGCTGAACCCACGAAAATTCCCATGGGATATCATGGGAGTATACTCTGGTAATTTAACATGGAAGCCCATGGAAGCCACGGCCCATAGAAATAGGTGATTTACCATAGACTATATTCAATCACCGGAGGGTAATATAAGATACCAAGCTGCATTTCACCAACAAGGCGCTACATAGGCCATGGTGTGTCTGAGGATGGGTACCCCGAAACGGCCATCGATAAAGGGAAGGGGAGTCCTCCATCTTTTTCTTCAAGTCTGGGATACTTAGCAAATGGATTTGTCCTACAAAATAGGGCATCCCCGGAACCCAGTCGTTTAGAATATCAATTTTCTCTTTGAAGATCCAAATGGGTTACAAGTTAATATAAGTTATATAGTTGTACACCTGCACCCTCAAGCGATGCTTAAATGTGGACTGCTGAGCCCGTTGCGAATAGCCATTTGGGGAAGATCCGCTTGGGCTCCCGGAAAACCTCAGTTGGGGCTTCCCCAAAAGCTGTCCTAGTTGGGGTGGCGACCCCCCAACGCAACCGCGGCAACCGGGGCAACCGCGGCAACCGGGTCCAGGCTCATGTGTGGAAGATGGAGACTGAACGTTTGGCGGAAGAAAAAATGGTCCGCACGGGAGTTGCACGTTGTGGTGGTTCTTGGTGGGTCGGGACATCAGGGATCATTGTGTAAGGGTATCCCGGGTAGAGAAACAAATGAATGCTTGAAGACATTGCCAACATGTAAATTTTGGTGGTTTCATATATTTTCAGATGTGTGTGTTTTTTCAATATTCAAGCCACACAGGGTATGATTGTAACCCTATCGACTTGCATGTCTAAAGCAGTAAATCTTGGGAAATGCACTTGACAATGAAGGTCAATAGGGTCCTCACCTAAAACATGGTCCTTGTGACGACCACGATTGCAGTGAGAATCGACTGTAGCCTCCGGTAATCAAAGATGGCAATGGAGAATCCTCGTGAAAAAAACTTCATTTTTTGGGACATTTCCGAGCCATGTTTGATTACCAAAGGTGAGAGGAAACGTCTGACAGATGACATTGCTAAGAAGACGCACATGATTTTCCAAACCAAAACTTGCATATATAGATACATCTCTATGACATGCACATACGACATGCACATACACAAATATATGTCCATATGTGTCTATATATATACATATCATATGTTTTATATGACACCTTTGATGACACCAGAGGGTATCAATATGTATCAATACTCAAAGCCATGGACGTGACCGCGGTGAACGCGGGCACCTTCACGCCACGACGCGCTGCAAAGTATCTGGATGTGCCGCTGGATGTTGAAGAGGCGCCGGGTGAGACCTGGCCGACCCGAACCTGGCGCCAGGTTCAGATGATCAGTAGGTTAGATTGGTAATGTTACCCTCTGGTAAACTAACATAGCTATTGAAAATGGCCATTTATAGTGAGTTTTCCCATTATAAATGGTGATTTTCCATAGCTATGTTAAATTACCAGAGGGTAAGTAATTAATGTGAAGTAGTGTTCACAAAGCAATAGAATAGTTTGAATAGTTCATATTTGTTTTTTTCTTAATTGCATTTCTATTCCAATCACATGTCTATCATATCTCATTAAAAAACAACTAACGTTAGTAATATGCAATGATTTCCACTATCCCCAGACTTAGCTTAAAATGGGGGTAGAAACCATCAACATAAGGGGCCCGGAACGATAGCCAAAATGGCACACATAACTTAAAAATTGGATCAAGATGGGGGATTTATATCATGGGTTTTTCTGGAGCTCACCTTTTTTTCGGAAGCCGACTATTTCCATGATCAACCGCCGACGGTTTTTGCTGAATGGGTGAATCATGGAATCATTTGCGCAGATTTCTGCGTGAAGTATCCTATGGTGTTTTTGAAGACAATTTGCACGCAGACTCTTGCCCACCAAGAGGAAGAGTTCGCAAGCCCAAAAAAGGTGAGTTCAACAACAGGCCATACTGTTTAAGTTTGATCAACTTTTGGATAATTTTTGAACCACCAAAAGGTTCAACAGTAAACGCCAAGATGAATTGAGCCAATCTCCCGGTACACCGGCTGTTCAACAAGATTTTTTTCAAGGGGAAAGCATCACCACCCCTTGAAACATTCACCAAAAAACATAGCAAGTTTCTTCCCAATCACTACCATTCATCCCTATGTTTGTTGCTCACATCTCCAGAGACAGAATCTCCAGGTTGAGTTGCGCCGTGCCTACCGCAACGCTGCAAGGTGTGGTACCCGGCGCTAAGGGCCACCAGAAAAGCCCATGGAATTGCCAATGCTGGAATGACGCAACAACGAAACAACCAGTTATGGTTGAGGTATCACGATGTATCCATACATATATTTACACACATCCCATTTCAATTACCATCAATTACCTATATATGCCACTTTATAATACTTTATATACCTCATGATATTGGAAACGGAATCCGCAAGTGTTTCTAAATGCCCTGATATTTCCGCACTTGGGATTTTAACATGTTTTAAGCATCACCTTTAATTTTGGTAGCTAGATAGCGGTTATTTCAACCCCCACCCAAAAGTAATGTTTACAGATGAACATATTAGATGTATGAGTGTACATTCAGAATATCCATAGGAATCTGTGAGAGCGATTTTCAGAGTGACCCGGTAATCCACAGGTCAGTCCTCAAGCGTCCCAAAAGATCCGCTAAAGGTTGGCATCCAAGACTCCCTGTATGGGGTGTAGTTCCAATTAATCTGCGGGGATTTGTCGCTATAGTTCCAGGTATATATCCTAAGTTATTCAGGTTATAGGAAATCACCATGGTTCTCAATGGTTCTGCCCATTTGGCCATGTATCAATGACACCATCTTTAGGGTGATGAGTTTCCATTTACATTTTGGTGCTCACCAGGGGCACAAGGTTTTGACCCACAGCCGTAAACACAAAAAAGCCGCTGCAGCCCCATGTCACGGTCCCAAAACCTCCTTGTTTGCGGTGGCAGGCGCTGCCACCCCGACAAAGATGGCAGCACAGAGGAGTTTCTGAGGCTCAATGAGGCGAGCGGTGGGCTGTGGTTAGTCGGACCTTATGATAAACTGTGGTTTGCATTAAAACCAGGACCAGATAATTTCCCAGTCACGAAAAAAGGGAAACACACACACACACATATCTAATCTCCGGGTGAAGGAGGATAAATCGCTAGACCGAGATGTTTTCCTCGTGAACGTGGGGAGATCACCAAGAATCAGAAGCTACGATCACTGGAGGCCAATGTTCTATCAGCAGCTTATTGTTTGTTGGGCTCGGTGGTTTTTAGCCAGCATCTCATTCGTCTTGGGATTGGTAGAAAATCAGTATCCCACCGAATCCTACCACTCAGAAATCTTTACTATAGAAATATTGCTCTAGAAAATGCAGTGATCTGGCTTGCATGTGCGGCTGGTGAATGATATCCAGCTGGTAAAGACAGAAGAGCAACCGCAGGGAAAACAGTGGGACCATTTTTCCATGGCGCACAATCTACGCCACAAATTTCACCAAATTTTGTTGCACAGTGTTGCGCAGTTGGGTACCCCAGCATCCATGGCGCAACCTACTTGTGTTGCGTCATCTATCGACTCACCTGGAAATCAAGAAGTTGTGCCACTCCCGCTGATTGACGATTTTATGGGTGTATGGCTACCCAATACAACCGCGCACCCCCCTAGCTAACCAATATTGTGGGGATTTCCAATAGGTTTCCGTTTGTTGTTTTTATATCGCATGATGTTTCAATTATCTCCATTCTATCCTATTAATTATACATATATATATGTATATACGCATCGTTTTCGATTTTAGGGATTTCCATCAGTCTAGTTCCGCTCACATCACAAAAATCACATTGTCAGTTAGATCCCATTATATACGTTTGAATACCTTAGAATTATTGCTCAAATGGCTAGAAACTTTTGAACCACAATATAATCATAATAAATATATATATATATACAGTAGATGCCCGTTTAGTTAGTTCGTGCATTTCCGTGCCCCAGCCATGGCGACTGGCAGGCCTTGGAAGTCTTGATCTCGACGCGGCCGTCCACGGCAGGGACTGGCACAGGGCGCACGGGGACCACGGGAACCACGGGAACCACGGGGACTACGGGGACTACGGAAAGCGAGAGGCGCTGCTTGGGGGTTGGAGGGCGTGTTTTTTTTTCCCATGTGAGCCGCGGGTTAAGAACAAAAATTGGTTTGACGCAACATAATTTGTAGGAAAACCAGCAAAATCCCATGGATTATCATGGATTGGAATCATTTTTCAGCACTAATTTGGGCCTTTCTTTTTTCTCATTTTCAGGCACGCCCATGTCACTTAAAGGGTGATTTGCAAAAATGCAACCCACCTTCAATGTTGCGATTGTTTTGGAAGGGAAACACATGAAAAAAAGGCAATTGCCGATGTTCCCTGATCACCTCCGGCATGTCTTGTGGTGGGAAAACTGATGTTGGATGCTTCCATCATGCTTGGACGCATTGGATGCAGCCCGACATACCAATGAAACTGTTAATTTTTGTCTTATCTTTGGAGTTAAAGGGAACAAGAGTGAGTCCCCCTAACTTTGATGATAAGTCTTAGTGTCATTGATCTGAGGATGTTTTCATTGTTTGCTTCATTAAGTTCGACGCGAGTCACTTTGATGTCATTTCTATTCCCGAAAGCTCCTGCGAAGGGTGTTTTCCCAAAGAACTGCTGCCAAATTCATCTTTTCAATAATCTACATCGCATTTCCTACATCTTTTGCATCAACAGAACATCTAATCAAGTTCATCATGTCCATCTCTCCTGTATCCTTTACATCCCCTACCTCATTTACATCAACTTCATCTACGTCACACACACGCACATCATCTACAGCATCTACGTCAGCTTCATCTACATCACGTACATCATCTACATCGGCCTCATCTGCGTCACATACATTATCTACATCATTAACACAATCTACAGGTGCTCAACGCCTACATATCTCCGACAAAACTCCTACAGTGCCATTTGCAGAGGAGTCATTGCACAGGAGTTATTAAAAGGAGTTGTGACACAGGAGTTGACTTCCAGGTGATCTACTTGTATCCCTACAAAACTCCTTCTTCTCAAGTTTCTATATTTCTCTCTTTTGGCGGCAGGGGCAGCCAGGTCCATCGAAACGTCACCCTCTGCGGCGATCGTCTGTGTTGGACACACAAACGTGTGGTGAAATGCAAATTTCTTTGGTGCGGCGTCGCCCTTTCACACGAAATGTGGGTCGAACGTCAAAAACTGGTATAAAATTGGCCGTTTGACATTTTGGAACTTGCATGAGATGCAACCCTTTCGCAGGAAATGGAGGTCAAACAGCAAAAACTGGTATAAAATGGCGATTTTGCAACGTCAGAAAGTTGCTCTGTGGCAAGTTTGTGTGTAAAAGATTCCCTTTTTAAAAGCCTCTGTGTAAAAGCTTCTCTGTAAAGGCGCCTGTGTGTAAAAGCTTCTGTGTGCAAAGGCTTTTCTGTGTAGAAGCTTCTCTGTGTAAAAGCTGCTGTGTAAGAGCTTCTGTGTGTAAAAGCTTCTGCGTGTAAAGGCTTCTGTGACAGGCTTCTCTGTGCACAGGCCTCTCTGCGTGAGATCTTCTCTGTGGAAAAGCCTCTGTGTGTAGAAGTTGCTCTGTGTTTAGAAGTTGCTCCGTGTTTTGAAGTTGCTCTGCGTGAAAGCTTCTCCCTGTGAAAGCTTCTCTGTGTAAAAGCTTCTGTGTGTAAAGGCGAGCTTTTTTGTGTAAAGGCGTCTGTGTGTAAAGGCGTCTGTGCGTAAAAACTATACTGTGTGAAAGCTTCTCCATGTAAAAGCTTCTGTTTGTAAAGGCTTCTGTGTGTAAAGCTGCGTCTGAATGTAAAGTGGCTCCGCATATGCATCTGCATCTGCATCTGCATCTGCATCTGCATCTGCATCTGCATCATCATCACCATCACCATCACCATCATCATCATCATCATCCTCATCCTCATCCTCATCCTCATCCTCATCATCATCATCATCATCATCACCATCATCTTGATCATCATCCTCATCCTCATCATCATCATCATCATCGTCATCATCATCCTCATCATAGCAATCGTCTTCATCATCACCGACATCACCATCATCATCATCATCACCCTCGTAATCATCATCATCATCATCACCATCATCATCATCACCATCATCATCGTCATCGTCATCCTCACCGTCATCCTCATCGTCATTGCCATTGTCATCGTCATCATCACCATCATCATCATCATCATCATCGCCATCATCATCATCATCACCACCATCATCGTCACCATTGCCATTTTCATCGTTAGCATTGCCATCATCATCATCATCATGATCATCATCATCATCACCATCATCTTGATCATCATCATCATCATCATCATCATCACAACAATCATCACCATCGTCATCCTCATCATAACAATCATCACCATCGTCATCGTGATCGTCATCAACGTCATCATCATCATCATCATCATTATCATCATCATCATCATCATCATCATCATCATCTTTTTCGTCATCGTCAACATCATCATCATCTTCTTCTTCTTCTTTTTCTTCTTCTTCTTCACCATCATAACCACCCTCATCACCATCATCGTTATCACCACCATCATCATCATCACCACCATCAGAACCACCGTCATCACCATCATGATCATCGTCATCACCATGGTCATCGTCATCATCATCATCATCATAATCATAATCATCATAATCATCATCATTTTGTGTTTATTATTTTCTTGTCTCCTGCCTCCTGGTTTCGTTCGGGCCACATTGCCATGTAGTTTTTTGGAGACCTCAACATTCGCACCATGCAATCATGCAACCTGGATCCCCACAGTTACACCTTGGGTATCCCTGGGTCAGGCTGGACAAACATTTCTTCGGGACCAACTTTCAGTCCGATCATTTCGATCCTCGCGCATGGCATGGGGAGGTGCGGGCACTTTCCGGAACGGACGGGTGGAGCTTGGGAGATGGGGTGAACTATCAAACATTTTTGGATTTCATCATGAAAATCATCAAACATCGTGATTTCACCATCAACTATGGCAGTTTGGCAATTTAACATGATTTAACCATCAAACATCCAGATCTAACTTGCGCATATGAAGATTTCCTTCAAAAAAATGGATGTGTTTCGCATCCTTTACTCATGCAACACAAGTCATCTCAAATCTTCATGTCCTGGGAATTTTTGTTAGATGTTTTACATGTTTGATACCTAATTGGTACCTTGCACGCGTTGACTGATCCAACAAATACTTTGATGTCAACCCTGCACGAACAAACCCACGGTTGGTCTACTAGGGGTGTTTTCATTTCAATCGCAAAATATCATTTTTCGCGGAACCCCCTGAATTCATCAGCCAGGGTTGATCAATCCGCGGTTGACATTACCTCCAATTCAACTGGATGTATTGCAGCTATACACATGTTCTTTCGTTGCTGCGTGGGCTTAAACGGGGTTTACCGGTTCACCATTTAGAAACTAATAGATTTGCTAGCCATGATGATCTTTGTATACAGTTATGGCCCTTTACCAGTTATAAGTGCTTATAACATTTTATAACCCCATTTATTATATTTATGGAAGGTATAATCCCATTTATAATTTATAACCAGTTATAAGCGGTCAATGGCCACAACTGTATCTTTATCTCATTTCTCCCACTGTTTTTTTTCCAGCTTCGAGGCCTCCAACGAGTCCCTGGAAGACTTGCAATGCGTTTGGCGCTGTCGCAGCTGTCCGGAGCAGAGCTCGGTGTGTTGTCGCTTGAAAACCAAGAGCCTTGGACGGAAATCAGAAATCTGAATGGAATATATCCAACAATAATGCGGGTAAAACAATGCCATAAACCACCCATTTGGAATGGTTTATACCACCTATTTATTGTGATTTGGGGGATGGTTTATTATTGTTCTACCCACATTAGCGAAAATACAATATAATGGAATATACCCAAATCTTTGGAAATCTATGAACCATTAAGATAACAATAGCTCTTCAACTACATGAGAATGGAAATTGTAACAGCGAATGTGATGATAATGAATGCCTTCCTGGGAATGATTCAGCGTTTGGATTCTGCGGCCTAAGTCATTGTCCGAAAGTGGGCATTGACGACTCTCAATTTGCAACAAAAGTCTCTAACATCTTTATTGTACATCCATGTACTTAATGAACATCATTTGGTCAAATAGTCAATATATTGGCTGACTTTTGGCTGACTTTCGGCATTGATGAAGCAACAGAAGCAGCCATCTACAGTAGAGTGGGAATTTCATGAAGATCAATCCAGTAATCCATCCCGGCGGGTGGTTTTCCATTGCTATTTTTGGCATCTAAGGAAGCATCTGTGCCTGTGTGGCCATAAGGTTGAGGCTGTAGGCTGAGTGGCTGAATGCAGACATCCACCAGAGATATTTCCGACAATGTAAGGAAATGCTATATAATCAGTCAGTGCGTGTTCTTTTTTTAAACCTGTTTTGTTTGGGGGGTTCCCCAAACTTCAAGAACCCCCGATGTTGAAACATATTTACTGCTGGACACCATGGTCAGTTGAAGCTGAAACATATCCAGACATAATTTGAGTCGCGCTTCCCAGCTATCAGATTGATGGTCCCCTCTAGGAAAAGTTGAAAGGACATCCCTATATTCAGGGGTAAACCAAGCCAGCGTTTTTGTAAAATGTCCCTTGAACCGCTCCATTGAACACCTAAGTATGGTATAGTATGGTTGGTTTTCCCCGTTATATTCCCATTATATATATATATATTATATGTATATATACATTGCAACGTCATGGCAGGCCCATCTGCGACAAAGCTTTGCATGTGGCCATGGCAACTGCCGTTGTCGTCGCTTCGAGTTTTACGTCCAGCAGTTGGGATGGGAAGCGCGATGTGCCTTGGCTGCGATCACAAGAAATTTGACTTACCCTCTGATAATCAAACATGGCAATGGACGATTCCCCATAAATGGAGATTTTAGTGGAACAATCATATATAAATGGGCCATTTCCCATTGCCATGTTTGATTAGCAGAGGTTAAAGCCAGATGTAATGAGGATCTAGAGGGAATATATTGGGAATATAATGAGGATCCAATCGGACAATAAGAAACACAATAACATGATAATGAGGTACAAAGTGGTGGGTTTGACTTGGTTCGGGGTCAAAAGATGTCAAAAGGCCGACATGTCCAAACACATTTTTTGGGTACTTTCATACTTAAGTTTGAACCACACCGTACTTAGTTTTTAACCAGACCAATGTAGATGTTTCTTTCCAAGAAACCTAAAAAATTGTAGTACTTTTTTAAGCCATGAACACTCACAAAGATGGCAACCCCCAGCAGTTGGTATACTTGTAACCATTGTAACCTCACAAGAACATCTAGGATAGGCTTCCACCATGCTATCCCACCAGTCACGTCTACGTGGTGCAGGCAGTTGCAAGCACCACGTACGCGACCACCGGCAGCTGGAAGGCTTCCCCTGGCCCTGCAGCAAAGTTCTGCCGGGCAAGGACACAACGCACCGCCTGGATCGGATGATGATTTTGTGGATGAACCACTCCATAATTTTTCTTCGATTTGGTTTGATTTACGGATTGTGATTGATTGTTTGATGGATTGTTTTGATTGTTTCTTTGGGTGACTGAGTTTGTTTTGAGAGCAGGTGGAGTCCCCTGAATGTCATGGACAAGTCTTCCCAGATCATGTCACTTTTGTTTGGCTAACATCTCCAGTTTATCCTGTCACATTTGTACTATTGCTGGTTGCCTCGGAGGAAAATGCTTCTGAAAACCCATCCATCTTGATTGGTTTTCTAGACATCATGATACATTATGATTGTGCATGGCTACGACAATATCGATTTCAACGGGTAAATGAGTTGCAGATCGAGGATTTGGCTCCCATGTTGTCAAAATTGAGGACCACATTCAGCATATTCAATCCATAGATGAAATGATCCTTTCAACAGTTTTAGGCTTGTTTTCCCCTCTTTCCAAAGGTTTTGTCTGAATTTATGTTGGCTATCTCCTTATATCCTTTTTTAACAGCTCGTTTTTGGGACCTGCAACCATTCAACCATCCACTTACGTGTTGCCAAAATTAGTTTGTAACTGGGGTGTATTAAATACATCCCAGTTGAAAGTTGAAAGTGGTGGTAGTCATAACCCAGTTTCTAACAAGGAATTGCTATATAATTTTGGCGACACCTTAGAAAGGACCTGTAGGGTTATCTCCAGGACAAGAAGCCCTGCCCTTGTAAGCGCTTCAATATCTCCTGGGTCTGCACCCGCACCTTGATGCGGATTGGCAATCTTTTGGAATTGGGAGCACCCTATCGTCAGACCAAGCCGGCTCCACAACCATGGTGATTTAACTATCCGTTGGTTTTTTCAGCATCACAACTGGGACAACTCATGAATTTTTGAAAAATCCCCAGGTGTACTGCATATGAGTTATAGTTATACGCGACCAAGATCTGTAGTTCAGTTCCCTATTCGGACTGACTCCCAGCAGTTTTGCTCAGCCGGCGCCGTGGCAGAGGTGGCCACCCCGCTTCCGAGCACGAGACAACGTGGCAGAGACAAACCTCCAAGGTGGGGGACGGGAGCAGAGGAGCCTGGGGCCGATCTTCCAAGCTGCAGGGCTTTGGCACAAGATTATCAAAGGCTGTTACAGTACAGGTGCCGCAGGGATTCACAGCTGCAAAGCATAGGCATTGAAGCTGCAACATTTTGCGAATAAAAAACGCTACGAAAATGGAGGATTCATCAAACAAAAGTGGGTTGTTGGGCCGGATCAGGTTATTCTTGGGAAGTCACTGAAACAGGGGTCGAAAACCTGTTTCCATCCATGCTCTGAAAATCAGCTATGGCCCATTTCACGCAGGTTCTAAGACACATCATAGAAATGCCGCAAACCATGCAAACCATCGGAGGGCAAGTTCGATTTGTCTAGTATTTGTGTGCATAGAGTTCCATGGACGTGTTGTTCTGTACGCAGCGAAAGGCCTTTTCCACCAGACCTTCGCTGCTTTCTCTCTTCTCCAACAATTGGATTGGTACCAGTAGGTCAATAGGTCCATACACATTCTATTACTGGTTGGTGGTTTGGAACATGGCTTTTATGACTTTCCATGTATTGGGAAGAATGATCCCAACTGACTTTCATATTTGTCAGAGGGGTTGAAACCACCAACCAGAATATCACTTGTAACTCGTAACCATTCTTTGAGGAGAACTCTGTCTTATCCTAGCGAAACATTGTGTAGTTTCATAGCTTGATACTCGGGCCATAACTTTGGATACCCAGCTATCAATGGGAATTCCAGGATCCTAAATTGGAGGTACGTTAGTACCATATTTCTGGCCATATTTTGGGGGCCTAAATCCCCTTACATAGGCCTCAAAAATAGGCCAAAAATATATGGTAGGTACCTCCAATCAATCGGTTCCTGTTGCATGGCCATTGAAGCTATAAACTGAATCGGCCGATTCCAGGCGGCCTTCGCGCGGGAGTGGGTGGCGCAAGGCTTGCGCCCCGAATGTGTGGCGGAGGCCGAGGCGCAGGGTCGGGGATCAAAAAAATGGAGGTTTCCAACAAGTCATGGAGCTACCCATAGGTATCCCCAAATGATCCAAATTCATTTTTGAAACTTGAAATCCATGGTGACTTCATAAAAATCCCCCATTTTTGGAAAGTCTCAAATCAGAAAAGGGTAATTAGAGACAACCAGGATGTTTGGGATTAAATGAGGGACACCCTGCCTCCTGTCGCACTTAGGGGTGCATCCCACTAAAAGTAAGTGGATCATAACTATCATAAACCATAGCTGGGCTATTATCTTAAATACATAATAGAAGTGGATTTCACGTGGCTTATGGGCCATTTACGATTCTTCCATCCCACCTGACTCACGTAAGAAACAGGCATCAGCCCTTTGGTGCAGCTACAGATACGATGTTCATCAGCTATATTTGGATGGTGGGAATGGTGTTCAACATGGCTGTATTTCTTCACTCCCATGTTGAACACCATGAACAGGAGTGGTATTCAGAGAAGCTGATGAAACGTCGGAGTCAAGAGTAGCTCTTGGCTAAGAGAAATCATTTTCCTTAAAACAATTATATGTGTATGTAATGTGATTAAATAAGTGTTTGCTACTATTGAAACAGGTACTAACTCTTGGCTTCACCCTCTTCCTGACCACCATTCTTGTTGAAGCTTCGTTCAGGAGAAGCGAAGTCGCTGGCAGAACCAGGCGGCCTCGCTCGTGGGATCCGGCATGGATCTGAGCGCAGCAAAGGCGGCGGTGAAAGCCAAAGCGCAGAAGATGCAGGCGCTTTAAAGGGGGATGGATGGGTTCTGTTTATATTATAGAATTATACGATCATAATATGCACATATATAGTTGTTATTATATTAATATGCAAAATAATCCTGAAGTAGAATAGAATAGACTATATATATAGCTATTTTATGATTATACAATATGGAAATCTGAAAAAATCATCACTAAAATGGACATGTTTGAAATTCCATCTTCTATCTGCTCTAGGATGACTATTTACATATGATAACCGCATTCTCAGCCAGTTGTAGCCATCATTAGTACATGGTTGTTACAACCATGAGAACCATTTGGCAATTTCCTAACATGGTTGAAAATGCCAGGAATTCAACCAACGACAATTGGAATACACTTGGTCTATACTGGGAATTTATCATGGAGCATGGAATATTTTATAAGCATCCTATGGATCGTAACTGGGTAAAAACCAGACAGAACCCAGACAGATTGGTGGATATAAAGGGTCCAATTAGCACTTGCTACTTGGAATGCACCTGCAAGTAGATCGCTCATCTTGAATGGGGAAACCCCAGGTGATAAGAGGTACCCCCCCCTTAATCTTCCCCTTGAAGCCCCCCCCGGTTTGAGAACCTTCCAGATGGACCATGGTTAGTTCACTGGTGATTGCAACTGGGCTATATCCTCATGGAACTGGGTATATACCTTTTGGTAATCAAACATGGCAACGGAAAATCCACCATCTATAGATGATTTTCATTGATTTTCCGATTCAAACCTCAACTTAGTTGCGTTTTCCAAGTGCCATATCTGATTATCAGAGGGTACTCGTAAATGATTTGAATCCATTCACCCATCAAAACTATCTCCATTGCCCATCCAAGTAGGGTCCAGCGTTTTTCTGGTATGTCTGGTTGAGAAAGCAGCATAAATTTGGTGCATACATGGAGGTTTAAACATGAAGTTTAACGAGAAAGAAGGCATTTGAGAAGCCAGAATGTGTGTACTGTGTACATATTAAGGGAAACCGACGGGTGAAGGGTATGCAACACGTTGAGTTTATGCCTAGCTATGTGAGAGAATGTTTTGTACTCAGCAAAAAATCGTTGGGGAGGTTATACCTTTTGTCGTGAAGGGCTGGTGGCTAATTAACATGATCAACACGAAAGCAGAGATATGAACCGACGAACAAAAGAAATATCACCCATATATATATATATATAGGATAGATACACATACATAGATATTACCAACAAACAGGATTGGCACAACAGTTGTCTCTCCCCCTAAAAGGGTCTTTTTCATGGCAGGAACGGTTCAACGTTTGGGTTTTTGGGTCAGTTCACTGCGGTGGCACTGTCTTTGATCTGCAGATCTCCATGTGTGCTGAAGCAAAGATGATGGAGGAACTGCTGGGCGCTGGGGGAAGTGCGCCAAAGCCAGATATTCTTTTCTGTTGAAGAACAAACTCAGATTTTTTTTAAAATAATGGTATCGACCAAGAACCACTCTTGGTCACATGTGAGTCTAGGGTCTGCATCTATCGCATGTTGCACGTTCCAGCATGTTCCACCAAAAATTGGTGCCAAAAAATCGCATCGCAATAGATATTTAAAGGGAATACAACTACCATCAACTATCTAAAATATTCTAAAATGACTATCGTTTTCAAAAAAAATAAATAAATGAATATTTTAAGGTGCTATCATCATCCATATCATTTTTAAATGACTATCGTTTTTCATGGTTTACATTTTTTTTACTCTCCAACTTGACCCACTGTTGTGCACGTTGACCCACCTCTCGTGGTGGAGGCTGTCGAAGAAACGCTCGATGGCACGCGCTTGCCAGGTGCAGCACACTCATCGCACAACGAGTGGTGCGGACTTTTGGTGGTTGAGTGACAGGCAGATCGTAATCTCAATCAATGGCAGCAACATGATGGAAGTTGAAACAATAAACATTTGGGAGTTTACCCAACAAAAGAGGGGTTGAACCAGCAACCCGTGGGGTTTGAGCATTATGAATGGATGTTGAACAGTAAACCTTGGAATTCAGCAAAAATGACCGTAGCACCCTGCAGGTGGTTCGTTGTTTTTGCCGCAATCTGGATGTACAAAACCAAGGGCATCTAGAGTGATGTGGGCATCCACATTTTGACAATGGATACATGGATAAATGACACAGACATACGGAACCTCAGCAAAATTGAACAAACAATTCAATTGATTGTACAGTATATATAAAGTTGGACTTGAAACATGGAACACAAAATCTACTGGGTATGATCCAACTGGCAAAAACAGGATCAATTGCACATGGGAACCATCGGGCAGTTTTCACCAAGTGATTTCATGTCTTTTTTCCGCTGAAACAGCTGGTTCTTTGAGGTCTTGCATCGGTTTGTCCTCAACAACGAGGTACCCCCCTTGCAATTTGAACGGGGAAAAGGGTAATCCAAACCAGCCAGGCCCACCTGCAAAGCTGGGCTATCGCCAGGTGGGGCAGCCGGAGCTGTAAAGGTTGAGAACTTGGGTTGGCCACTGTGGTCTCGTGTACTGCCTCATACCTCCATAGTGGTTCTGGAAAGTAGTATGTGATTGTGTCAAAGCACAAAAGCCACTCTGGACGACAGGACCGTGATGTTTTGATGCTAAGAGCAAGACAGAATTTGCAATTGGAGCTTGGAAGACCACATGGCCTTCGGGATATTTGCGACCCATCCTCAAACTTGGCCCCAAAGCTACCTCCCACATTCACAAGCAACGCTCAGCTTTCCAGGACAGTGAAAACCGCGAAGCAGCCGCGCTGCGAATTCAAAATTTGCGGCGGATAGCAAAGGGACGGACAATTGGTCATCTTGAGTACTAGACTACCGTCTGGTAAACTAACATAACTATGCAAAATCACCATTTTTAATGGGAAAACTCACTATAAATGGCCATTTTCAATAGCTATGTTAAATTACCAGAGGGTACTAGACCATGGGTTTCGGCCATCATTTTTGGACATATCCGGGTATTCAACCACCTGCACTTGCTTCATATGCATAGCTGGTTCAACTCGGGGGTACTGTGAGTAGGGTTTTTTATTTTGGAGCTATGGAGGATATTATCATCATTCTATCCATAATTCTAACATTGCTAATTAGTACACTTGTATTTTATAATCCTAACCGGTCCTAACCTATAATCTCAAAAAGGACATGACCACCAATTTGGTTGGGTCTTGGGATCCATCGAGGAGAACGTGACCTTTAACGTTGCTCCTAATGTTAATGGGATGATCAAAGATGATGTAGCCATGGGTAGCCTATGTTCAGACACACTCATTTTTGTCAAAAAACAACGTGGAAAATGCTGCTGAAAATTCACCTCGAAGTTCAATTTTATGGGTATCAAACAGTTGTTTACCCCCACCAGTGGACGGCTGAGGATGGCATATCAAAAGAACAGAGGTTTTTAATGGTATTTGAATAGTGCTGTAAACCCAATACCATACCAGGTATACTTAACATCTCCAAGTGGAGCTTGATCGGGTTTACCCTTGGGTAATGACCAACAGTTAGCGAACTGGAAGCCATGATCAGGATAAGTCGCGTTTTTGAAAATGGTGATTTTAGCTCTCGTGCCCAAGTGCCCTGCCAGCGGGGAGAGCTGCCCGGGCCAACGTTGGGTGACTCGACCACCGGTTTTCGTGGTGCCATGGCTGGCAGGTGGGGCGATCCGGGTTCCCCCTTGCAATTGGGTTTTGTTCCAACTATGAGTTGTGGTGACAAAGTCGATCTCGTAGCGGATCTGGTGAGCGTTTCGGAGGGATCGCTGCTGACTCATTTGTGGCCTTGTGGTACAAAGGCAAGGTTCACAGGGTCCTTCGATATCCCCGAAGAATGCCAGGCTGTGACGATTTTTGGATGTGTTTTGGTTGACAAAGCTGCAGTCATTACCTTCCAAGTTTCAGATATGGATGATGTTTTGTGCCACAGACGATGCGCCAGGGATGACATGTGGAATGTCGTGGAGTTATGTGCTGGCATGGGTATCGGGTCGATGGGGTTTCAACAGGTTGGAATGAAGACTGTTTGCGCTGCTGATTGGAGTCAACCATTCACTGAGGCCTTCCAGGTTGTCCATCCTGACATCCCGATCGTTACAGGAGACATCGGTAGCACTGAGGTTTTGAAGAAACTGCATCGGTTGCACCCGCATCCAGCCACCATGATGAGCGGCTTCTCATGCCAGCCATTTTCCTCTGGTGGCTTGCAATTGGGAGCTGGCGATGCCAGGTCAGCCTCCCTCCCGAGTACCCTGCGGGCTGCATACTTGCTGAGAGCGGTTGCACTGATCCTTGAGTGTGTACAGGATGCAGGTAGTAACAACATGGTCCGGAATCTTCTTGACAGCTTCTCCACGCAGTGTAGGTATCATGTCTCGGAAGTCATTTTGCGCCTCGAAGAGGTGTGGGTGGCTCGACGCTCACGATGGTGGGCTGTGCTCACTGCGCCGTTTTTAGGTCCAGTTTCACTGCCGAGCATCCGTCCATTCCGAGGGATTTGTTTCAGAGTCCGCTTGCTCTTGCCCAGGCAGAATTGGATCAGCTTGTGCTTCACAGTGCCGAACTTGAAAAATTCCTGGCTTACGAGCCTCAGCTGGGTCGCCTGTTTCTCAAATTGGATGGAAAAGCACCGACGGCGTTGCACTCATGGGGAAGCCAGATGGTTGGGTGCCATTGCGGTTGCAGGACCTGTGGATTTAGCCATGAAACCCTCTCCTCCCGTGGTGTGTATGGTTTGCTGATCCCCTTGCCTGAGCTTGGTAGTGCATCCGACTCTTCCTTGCCGATGTTGCGTCACCCACATCCGACTGAGGTGGCCTTGCTGAACGGAGTCCCGGAAATCACATGGCCTTGTGACCTCAGATTGGCTTTGGCTGGCCTTGGACAGATGGCGGCTCCATTTCAAACCCTGTGGGTTGGAGCCCATTTGCAGAAGCATGTTGATTTTGTTTTCCATGGTTCAAGCACTATCGACCCCCAAGACATGGTTGAGCGTTTGTCCTCCCAGATGTTTCAATTGGTGGATGCCTTGTCCTTTTTGCCGGCGCAGCCCGTTGACTTGCCTGAACCACCAGTCATGGATTTGGAAATTGCCATGGATGACATTACGCTGACTCCCTGGGTCCAGTTTCAACACCTTGGCCACCATGATGAGGTCACTGTCGTGCATGACTCTGATCGTGTTCCCTATGTTGTGAAGCTTAGTGCATTGGAAGAAACTGTTGCTGCTGTCATCAGTGCGTCTGCTGAGCTTTTGGACTTTGACAATGTTGGTCTCCGGGTGTTGGATTGCAGTTCTGGTTTGGATGTGCGTCTGGACCACCCTGCAGCGGGCATGTGTCTCTGGTTCACCAAGAAAGGTCCCCAGGTTTCAGAAGACGTGGTTGCCTTCCATGCGGAACATGATGCCATCTCTCCTACCGTTGCGTGGATTGCTGAAGAGCCGCAAAGTGACTCAGCCTGCGAGGTTCCTACGAGTGTGCCCGAGCCTGCCAGTGCCTCCGTTGGTCCCAATGTCCTTGAACCTTTGACCAGCCTTGATGCAGAGAGGTTGTTGCTTGTCTCTGAGCCATCTGTGACTGATTGTGCCCTGATGGATGCCCTGCGACACCAAACCATGTCAGCCAGCGCCAGGAAGCAAATCCTTAGCAATCAGGGTACGGTTTGGGCTGATGATGAAATGTGGTTTCACATGCACCAGATGCTCTCAGCTGCCAACAAACCCAGTTGGGCAGTGATTGATCCTCTGCTTTGTGCGGAAGCGATCAAGCGTCCCAGTGCTGGCTTGATTGGACAAAGGATTCGTTCCTTGGACTTTAAGCCCTCTGCCATCCTTGGGGTTGTCTGTGCGGACCAACATTGGACCCCGTTCCTTTGGACTTGGACTCCTCATTGCACCATTGCTGCCAGCTGGGACGTGCCTGGATCCCCAAACCGTGGATTTTCTGTCTTGCACCAAGCCATTGCTACCGCAGTTGGATCCAGGACTTTCACTGTCCATGTTGTCCATCGGAAGTTTGCGGTTGACCGTCTCTGTGGGATTTGTGCCATTCGGTTCATCGACAGCATGTTGCGTGGAAAGATGTTGCCTACGGCAGATGATGAAGCATTCCAGTTGCATGCCATTGGGAGGTCTTTGTTTGTGGCTCACTTGGACACGCTTGACACAGTTCCCAGGCCTTGGATTTTTGGTGCAGGCTTGGATCCCATGTCGTCTGACCGGTTGCACAGCCTCTTGTCCGACCATGGAGTTGACCAGTCTCAGGTGAAACAACGTGCCGCGCTCCTGATCCAGGCCATTGGACTTGCGGCCACCCAACAAGCTGTCACGTCAGGACAGCCTTGGCGTGCTTTGAAGGCAGCAGCCAACCACTGTCGACCCCCCTTCCAGATAGTTCTTCCTGTGGAACTTGAAGCAGTGGTCTCCAAGAAAGCAGCTCAGGGTGGCATGAAGACTAAGAAGAAAGGTGGACCTGCGGCCAAGAAAGCTCCTTCGAAACCTGAACCGCCAGTTGGACTTGATCCCTCCAAGCTCTCCATCGAAGAAGGCAGCTTCACCACTCAGAAAGGCTCTCCAATCAAGCAAATTGGACTTTCCGACATCGGTCCTTTTGTTTCTGGAATCGTTTTGTGCACAACTGATCAGGCGACTGCGTACCTCCGGGCGAACCAGTTGGTTTCAAATGGTGCTTTGGGTCTGCTGTTACTCAATGCTGACACTGCCTCATTGCCCACTACCCTGACATGGTCCAGTCTGCGTGTCATCCTCCGTTGCCAAGCGAATGGTGAACCCCTACTGGCTCCTGCGTGCCTTGTCCAAATTGGCCATCTTGTGTGACTTCGAAGCCTT